AAAAAAAAAAAAGGTAAAATCAGTAATTAAGCAATGAATACTTCACCCTCACCACAATCCTCCCTTTCTCCACCCCGAGTTTCCCGCCCGTAACGAGCCAATGGCCCGGCAGGTCCTTCGGGCCTTTACTCATTTCCAAACAGTCCACAAATTTCGCCACTTTATTCCTCCCATAAACCTCCCCCGAACTCGAACCACATTCATCAAGACTATTATTATTGCAATAAACAGACTCCCGTTTCTTGATCTTCTCACACGGTGGCGCATGGTCCCACAAGGACCTGCGTATAGTACACCCGGGCAGCCTCGAGTATAGAAGCTTCATATACAGAACATTTCTCGACCCGAAATCCCACACCCCAAGCTGAGCCCCGGTCACTATGTGCACTCCCGTCAGGTCCCCAACGAAGATCTCTGGATTCTCGATTGGTGCTGTGCTGACGTGGGAGAATTTTTTCCACTTCACGGGCTCGAACCATCTGCTGTCCTGCTCCTCGGGCCCCTGCCATTTCGGAGCGCCTATCGAGATGTGTGGGTCCCAGTACGGCTGGAGGATCTTGGGAAGATACTGCAAGTGCTGGAGATGGATGCTTACCCGATTCTGTTTAGATCCTTCGAGACAAAGTCGCATGCCTGTCACGGGCTTTCGCCCAACCGAAACCTGCATTTCATGTTTTAAGTAAAATCTGTATTTATTGAAGTAAAAGATCTGATATTTTTTTTTTTACTTTGCTTTTAAGATTAAGGGCTTGCTTGTTGAATTATCAAAAGGCTTAAAAACAAAAAAAATCCAATCTAAATTCAAAATCTAACTCAATTTTAACCCAACTACATTATCCTCAATATTATAAATATAATTAAATAATATCATTCTTACTTTCAAATCATTTTAACTACCTATCATTTCCAATCATTTATCTCCTACTTTTACATCAAATCAATTTTAATCATTTTTATTTTAAATATTATTCTAATGCAAACTTAAAATTTCACTAACAACTAAACGTACCAACTTTTTTCAAATAAACTCTAGTTAACACAAAAACCAGTAAAAAACTGAAAATTTAGTAAACAAGCAGGCTCTAAACTGTGAGAATCTCCGAGTTAAAATTGAATTTTCGTGAACTTGAGGAAAATAGAGAAAGAAATGGTACACAGATAGAATAAAAGTACATACTTGCTCTTGGCTGACATAGAGCTTTTGTCCCATCATGCTGAATTGTAACGACGGGCAAACGGGTTCTTTTCTTGTTTGTCCAGCAAATCTGTCCTGTACGGGGGCCCATATTCGAGGGACCTGAAATTCTAGGAAATACCTCAGTTCTTCAATCTGGGGTTTATCTGCAAAAAAATAAAAACCTAATTGTCTCGTTTTCGCAATTTTCAAACATGTGGGGGAAAAAACGAAAAAAAAAAACAAATGTCGTGTCTTACACTCGAGGTACAAAGCAATGGCACGAGTTAAATGCTCTTTTCCTCTAATCCCATCAAGAAGTTCGGTTATTGGAAAAAATGACATCTCAATGACGTCTGGCGAGGATCGGACGGTTCTTGCCCATTGGGTGTGGCTCTGCTCGAGATCGTCCCCACCCCTTCTTCGGAATATGACCGTAACATCCTGCATCCGATATTAGTAATCAGTAATGATTATCATTATGAAAATAAAGGTCAAATTATATGAGGATGAAAACCGGTTTTTTAATAGAATCTAGTGTCGTACAACAGTGTGTAGTTTATTAGCAAATGTGTATATATATTACAGGTCTAGCAGAGTGCAAGGTGATTGTTATACTTTTTTTAGTACAGAAAAAATATCAGTAGTTTTGTACTGTAAACATTTGTAAATGAAAGGGGAAGTTCTGAAGTAAAAATACAAAATTTAACTTCTAAAAAGGTAAATTGTAACTTCTAAAAATTGTAATTTGCTCACATTTATGTCATACTCAAAATTTAACTCAACCCCACTATCCTTAATATTATTTATATGATCAAATATTATAAACCAATCATTCTTACACATTACATCAACTTTTATACACTATCCATCCACTCACATAAATTTAACTACCTATCATTTCCAATCATTTATCTCCTACTTTTTCATCAAATCAGTATAATCATTTTATTTTAATTATTATTTTAATACATTCTTAAAATCCCACTACCAACTAACCATACCACCTTTTTCAAAATTAACTCTAGTGAACGAAAAAAACTCATTTTGAATGAACTATTTGATAAACAAGCGCGCCCAAGCCACTATCAAAGAAGATTTTCAATCTTTCTTGAGATATATCTAATTTGCAGTAAAAATACAAAACTTAACCACCAGAGGGAGACTATCATGGGGTAGAAAATAACTATAAATAAATACCTCTTTGCCACTTCCAGATAGATAAGGTGCAGTAGCTGGTTGCGGGTATATCTCACTTCCCTGCAATTATAACAGGAGGGAAAAAAAGAACCAA